TCATACATAAAAGACGGTTAAGGCTTCTGTAGGTCTTGACATTTCTGTATCGCTCCCAACCATTTCGTTGTAACAAAACGGATGTTATTTGGATGGAATATTAGTCAGTTAGCTGTCAGGCTAAAGTCAATTTCCTCACTCCAGTAGCTGATGGCAGTTTATGTAAATGAGTTGAGTTGCATCGTTTTAGCGCGCTACTTTCGAACTCAAACACGTGTGCGTTTTCATTCAACAAAGTCTGGCGCCACAGTAATCAATCAGAGATTGACAGCAGTGGCTGTTTGGTCGCTCCCAGTTGGTGAAATGGAGTTGTACCAGAAACGGACAATCTCAATTAATCAGTTCGATTCAGTTTCCTTGACGGCAGTGAGCTGTTTGGAGGGTAAGAGTTCGTAAAAACTAAACTGTATTGAGTGAAATCAACCGGAAGTGGAATTTGTTCCACGCTTTCCCTTTTCAAGGAGACTGTGAATACGTTTGAATATGAGAGGTGCGAACATTACCGACACAACAGGTCTGAAGCAGAACGCTTAAGAGTTAATCAATTCTACTCGCGGATGCTTTTGTCAGATTGTAATTTCTTCAGACTTTCTGTAAGTACGCCAAAATATGCCATATAACGCATGACTCCTACAATTTCAGGTTTCACGGCGTGCGATGGTAACTAAGATTTATCAACTGTTGAAAAATGGTTGGTGATGAACTTCAGGTGTCTCAGCGGACAACACGACGCAAAATGCATTTGGCACTGCAGGTGCTCAAATACTTTTGAGGTAAGGACTGCTTAATCAATCTCTTAGTCAACTGGGAGTAAGGGGACGGTGCGATGTACCACAGAGCAATCTAGTATTGGAGAAGTGGTGCGTTGTCAGACTGTCTGTAACGCAAACGCGACTGTGTTTCACGTCCCGCGCGTCATTTTGTTTTCGCCGGTCTTCAGCCAGGCGAATCGTTTTTACCTCTGCGATTGCCTCCTATTTATAGATTAACGACCACAACAAGTTTGCATGTCAGGAATATTCTAAATAAGTTTTTACCAAGTTCCAAAGGGTACTGTCGAGGAGGAATGCATGTCACTGTGTGAACCGGGCAAAAGGAAGTTTGGAAACTGTTACGGTTTTGGTAGATTGCGTGTCCAGTCATTTGTTTGCTTATTTACGAATCCAAACAACATGTTACATGCACAGTAGAGCAGAACGCATGAGAAAGTGCGTGGGTTTTCATTAATGATGTGTTATGCAGTGTGTTTGAAAGAACAGCTGCTCAAGCGTATGCTCCCTCCAGGACTCCGCGACCGCTTTCGGCACCTGACTTCTTTCGCAAAAACGGGCGCCCTCTCTCCGATCATTTCAATTCATCCTAGCTAAGCGAATCTAGGCGTGTTAGCACTGTCCTTCAGAGTCAGTTTTCAATTTCAGATGTAGGGTTCTAATTCGCTGAAGGGACAGTTTTTGTTGTATCAAGAATTTAATTGAGCCAGAAATCAGCCCCACGTTGCTTCAGCGCAACCCACCGAGAAATGGTTAGTAAGTCGGTGACTTGCGAAAAATATGGATAGCATGGTACGCTGGTCTGATCGCATCACTGCGAAAGAGGT